GGGACAGGGAGAGGGAGAGGTAGAGGGAGAGGGAGGGGGAGGGTCCACCCCACCCGCCCTCCCCCCACTTTCCCCTCATTCCTCTTTCTCACGCAGACCCTCCTTGTCCCGTTCATCCTTGCCGTGGATTCCCCCCTCTTTCCCCCCTTCCCCCTCTCCACCCTCGCACCCACATCATGTTATGGCAGTACGGCTTTTCGCCCCTCTCCCTGCCCCCTTCTCAGCCCCCCTCTACTCCCCCCCCCCGCCCCCGCCACAGCAAAACCACTTGTACGTGTTGATGCCGGCACTGCGCCTCATTACCCGGCCGCACATGCCGGATCCCGGGCAGGGCACGAAGCCACCAGCGGCCTTTGGCACCCGAGCCAGCCTCACAGGTGCGGGTGGGGTGGGCGAGGGGGCAAAGTGGGGGGGCCCCAGGTGGCCCCGGGTTAGGCAAGGACGTGCAAAAAATAGTGGAACAGCGGACGGACGCCACAGGGGGGGCTAAAGGGTTGGTATATTCAGGAATATTATAATATGAGTTAATATAATCATATGATGATTGTTACATAGTGGGAGGCTTCTGGATGATTGCACACATCAGCATGCTGATTGAGAAGACCATAATCATGTGGTCTATATCATAATGTAGAGCATATAATTATGTTATAGAGAAGGAAATGATTATGATATAGATAGAAGAAGGTAATGTATGTGTTTCACCATAACGTTTTGAAATTTGTTTATATATAATTAACTTACGACAGTTACATAGCAGGGGGAGGGAATTGAATTCATGGAAAGTGCAAAATCCCTAAAACCCTCAAATTCTAAAAGCGATACAATTGCTCTTAATCCGCTACGAAGACCCTAAGCCCAAGACGGTTAAAACCCGCCTAAAACCCGCCTAAAACCCGCCTAAAACCCGCCTAAAACCCGCCTAAAAAAACCTCCATGTGCAGCCTGTGGCGGCCACGTAATCTTGTTGGAGTACCTCGAGGAGCACCCCCCGCTGCTGGGCCGACCTGCCATGGGAGCCAGATTACTGACGTACTACCAAAGACGGGACGAGCAAGACATGGGCCACAACAACCTGGTGGCACCCTCCGGCGGCGGCGGCGGCGGCTC